GTGATCCATTACCATGATATGAATATGCATCGAGGAAGTTAGAAATGTGAAGTTAATTGAAATATATATATATAGCACTCCAAAAATTTAGATTTGTCTTTTAGGACAGAATAAATTTTGTTTCTCATGTTATGGATTACTAATTACTCTTTTAGCAAACCTACTTGGTGACATTTTCTTCATTTATCTTGGACAGTACAAAATTCGATTTTTGTCTTGCATTACTAATTACTGGATGATTTAATCTACCATGTTGATTCAGGCTCGGAGTTTCAGCTTTTGGCTATGAAGATAATGGAGTAGAAAACTTGAGGTGTAAATTGTCTGGTTTTCTTTCACGGGATGCTACCATCAGAATGGCTCTTCCTGTTCAAATTGCTTTGGCCACTGCTTTGCTAGGTCTACTTTCTCTTGATTTTGAGAAGCTTATCCGGAGCAATTCTTGCCTCACAGCAATGTCACGTCAATCCGTTTCCATTGATCATATAAGAAGCTGGTTTTCTTCACTGACCAAGGAGCAGCAAGCATTGTCACTCAGCCTCTTACCATCTTCTGATGTCCGCTGAGACAATTGCATAGTTACAATAAGAATATATTACCATCTTCAACAATACTCTTCAAGTTTGATGCGGGAGTTTCTCAATAGCGAGTGGTTATCAATTTGTAATATTGCTGAAACTAAAAAAATGTTGAAATTTTTTTGGGATTCACTTTTTTAGTAGGCTTTCCATTCTGAGATGGAATTCTCCATACAACAAGTTTTGTCCTTTTTTTGAGTTCTGAGTCGGCAGAAGCTAGCGACACAAATTTTGAGATGTAGCTCGTGGTGAAAGCCTTTCTGTATGAGTCCTATCTCTTACCTTCAATAACTTTGTAAATTTTTTGAAGCACCTTCTGTAGCATTTTGCCCGAGCTTGCATGATTTGATTAACGAACCATTTCAATTTACAATTTACATTTTTAGGTAAAAGAATATAAGATGAGCATAGGCATTCTATATGAAACACAGATCTTCATGAAGAATTCTTTTGTGCGTCAAATTTTTTTCTCAGCGGTTCCTTGTCCTGCCATTTTATATGTTTACTTCGTTGGCTTGGTTGCACAGGTGATAGTGGAGCATGCTGTGCTTTTATAATCCTGTAAAAATCCTCAATTGTCCTGTTACGATAGCACAATTCATGCTCATATTGAGGATGTTGCTGCTTGCAAGGCCAATGTTCAGTTATAAGGCTTATAGTCTCTTCTTACATGACCTAGGCATAGCCCGGCCAAGAATATCTGGGTGCGGGTTCTGAATAGTGCGTGTCTTTGCAATTGTGACATTGCTCCCAAGTGCTGTATCAAGAAATTACTGCCACTGCGAGGTTAGTCTCATTCCTCTGTTCCTTTTTGGTCTTGGACGTAATGTAGTTGAAAGTTGTAATTTCTGTGGGTATTATTAGGAAATTGATCCACTTGATGCTACTACTTCGCTCTCTGCACTCAGCAGTTAGTTTGCTGCTGGATTCTAACTAAATAGTTAAATTTTACTAGGTGATCTGTCACAAGTAAAATTTATAGGAGGGATTATTGCCCCCTTATTGGTTCCCTGTTTTGAACCTAAAGCCTGTGGAGCCGATTAAAAAGGGCCTTGCATTCACAAGGAACACATTACACATTATTTCTTTTTCTTTGCACTGCCTTCTCCTTTATGTATGGATGCTTGGAATACTTTGTTCGCTTCTGAAGAAATTGTCAGAGTCAACCTTGCTTTTCACCTGAACCAATCTCTTGAAATTGCCCTTGAAGTACTTCATACCCCAAGCCTTAGCCTCAGAATAACTTGTGTTTGCATGCTTGTTAGTGCCTAAGTCAAGATCTCTATAATTAAGATACGCAGCCCTTGGGGATTTGGAAACATATGGTTTCATGTACCTATATAGCATCTGGATCCAACTTACATGCTTGTGTGTTGCTCTAGTCTCATCCTCATCCCACTTCACCAGGTATTGAATGTTGTACAAATTTCCTTCCCTGTGAGGGAAAGGAATATGAGATTCTGGAATCTCATTCATTCTCCCACCGAAAGGGTCCATAATCATGAACACTAGCCCTTCCTCTAAGAACCGTTCCCATATTCCTTCAAGTCCAAATTCAGGTATGGGTTCTGTTACAAAGTCAGATTTTGCCTTGAATTTGGCTTTGTATAGTTGAGTCTTGTCAAGTAAGACCTCCAAAGGGCTTCCCTTCTGAAATCCAGCAAAATAGACAGTAGTCTCAATCCAACTCATTTCTGTGCAATTTTCAGGTACCAATCCCAACTCAGGGAAACTTTCATTCATCAAGGTGATTAGTCTGTCAATGCTTCCAAGAAACAGTGAGTTGAAGGAAGCTTCCACTGTCTTCTTGTTTGAAGTACTTTCTCCTCCAACATTCTGAATGACGATTCTGATGAAGAGATCTTCGTGTAGTTTACCTGCAATGTATTGCCACCTATGGACAAGCTTGGTGGCACCTTGTTCAATAGTTTTTGGCACAGTGAATACAGTCACAGTTGGTGGAACCCGAATCAGCTTGATCTTCCATGACAGTATGATTCCAAAGCTTGCTCCACCACCCCCTCGAATAGCCCAAAACAAGTCTTCTCCCATTCCTTGTCTATCAAGAATCCTCCCATTTACATCAATCAAGTAAGCATCAATGACATTATCTGCAGCAAGGCCATATTTCCTTAACAAGATACCAAACCCACCTCCAGTAACGTGTCCACCAACGCCCACAGTAGGGCATAATCCTGCTGGGAATCCATGAACTCTGCTTTTCTTTGCAATAGCATAATAAAGCTCACCAAGTGTTGCACCAGTTTGAACCCATGCTGTTTCATCTTCAATATCCATCTCAATCCCTCTAAGATTGACAAGATCAATGATGATGAATGGTGTCTTGCATAGAAAAGATAAACCTTCATAGTCATGGCCACCGCTTCGAACTCTGACTTGTAACCCTTGCTTCTTGCTACAAAGAATTACTGCCTGGATTTCAGACTCATGAAATGGAGTAATGATGAGTTGCGGCTTTGATGTGGAGTTCAACCATCTCAAATTTTGTTTAGATGATTGCAAGATATATGAATACAAAGGGGATTGAGGAGTGAATATGGTTTGAAAGGATTTAGTATAGGAATTGAACTCAGTTGACATGCATTGAATGAAGTTTTCATGGATTTTACTACTACAAGTTGCCCATGAAACTGAAAGCAAAAGAGAAACAAGAACAATGTGATTCATTTTTCCTTCTACTTCTGGGGTTACCATCTTGGGTATTTATGTTTTGTATTTGACTGTCAACTAGGGATATTGTGAGAGGCCGTTTGTTACTAGCAAATATTTACATGAAGACACCATTGATACCCTAATTAGAGATTTCAGGCTCTCCATATCAACTGCATTTTGTCATTTTTATTTCGTTCGGCAATTAGCAGGGACTGTTGTTATGTTCACATGCATTGTGGAGAAGGTGTTTGTCTATACGACAAGGGCCATCACCCCAATTTTTCTCAATATTATCGTTCCATTATACACTGATCTTAGCATGAGTGGGACATTTAAGACATGAAAAGGGCCCGCCTTCGATTATATCAAAGCTTGTTTGAAAATACCTTTTTTAGTTTAAATCCTCTAAATAAAAATTCTTGAAGGTTGGAGTTTAGGAACCATCAACATCTTTCAAATTTATTAATTTTTAAGGATGATCCAGTGCTTAAGCAAGTATGCTCCCTTCTTTGATTTTCAAGTCTGGGATTCTTACACATGTAAGAAGTCATGCTCTCGTATATGTACCTTATCCAATTTGATGACCTGACTTGACCAAACTGTATGCTGTACAGTATAGCTTCTCTATATGGTAATGAAGTTTCTGATTCTGATATTTCCTCCATTCTTCCGTCCCTGATTAATACCGGCTTCTCTTCTTGCTTCTTCCAAACACCAGTTCCTTAACTTTTTCAAAAGAGTTCTGCTTTAGAGGGTGCTCATTAAAATCTGCTATATTTACAAGGGCTTCTATAGTTTCCTCTTTAGGGTACCCTGAAAAGTAAAGAATAGACTCAATCCAGCTCATTTCAGTACAATCTATGCTCTTAAGCCCAAGTCAAGGAAAACATTATTCAAGAAGGTGATCAATTCTTCCAAGAAACAAAGAGAGTGCTTAAAAGTAGCATGGATTGTTCTGTTCCCTTTCCTTGTATCTCCAACAGCTTCTGTAATAACCCTAATGAACAAATTTTCTTCAAGATTTGGCCCCATATGTTTCCACTTGTGAACAAGCCTAGTCGCTCCTTGCTCTAGTGTCTTGCCAAACAGTAAAGTTGTTGGAGCATGAGAAAGGTCACCTTCCAGGGAAGGATAACCCCAAAACTTGCTCCCCCACCTCCTCTAATAGCCCATTACAGATCCTCTCCCATTGATTTTCTATCAAGAACTCTTCCATTCACATCAACTATCTGAGCATCAAGAATATGGTCAGAAGCTAGGCCATATTTTCTCAACATGGTCCCGACCCCCCCTCCACACAAATGCCCGCCAACACCAACTGCAGCACAAATTCCTGCCGGAAGTCCATGCACAGGATTTTTCTCAGCAACCCAATAATACAATTCACAAACTGTCGCCCCAGCATCAGCCCCAGCACTGTTATCTTGCAAGGCGTTCGTGCCTTGTATGTTGGTTTAGCTTATTGAAGAAACGCCTACAAAATCATATGTTTTGACACTCCAATGCCAGAATATATAAAATAAAGTTCAAGGTTTGACAATAATTGGCAGCTGGTAGCCTATTGTAGACAATAATTTGACAATATAAAGATCAAATATAATACTAGTCATATTTATTCTTATCTGGACATATTAGTATAAAGTCCAACAAGATTTTCAATGCCACTGTTTAACATCCCCTATCGATTTCAGTTTAGTCAATTACTTCGCCAAATGGGTTAGAAAGAAGAGATCACAAGCAAGCTTGTTTTTGAAATGAACAATAAAATGTGAAATTGGGCAACAAGGCAGGGATTTCTTTCTGTCAAATTGCTAAATAACTTCAAAACATTGGTTCAATCAGAATACAAGATGGAAATTGAACATGCGTGTAAAAAAATATATAATAGCTTAATGTCTTTCCAATTCTTCATCTCATGTGAAATGGAAGAGGTGGGATGCTCTGCTCATACCAGAAGAAGTTGTCAGGATCAACTTTGGCCTTCACAAATGCCAATCTATGGAAGTTATTCTTGAAGCACTTGAGACCCCGGGAAGTACCTGCTTCTGTGAAGCTTGTGTTAGTCCTCTTGTTTATGCCCAAATCAAGATCCCTGTAATTGACACATGTTTCCCTTGGATGCTTGGAAACATAAGGTTGCATGTGCTTGGAAACATAAGGTTGCATGTGCTTGGAAACATAAGGTTGCATGTGCTTGGAAACATAAGGTTGCATGTGCTTGGAAACATAAGGTTGCATGTGCTTGGAAACATAAGGTTGCATGTACTTGTAAACCTTCCTAGTCCAATCTACATGCTTTGCAACATTTTCCTTTGCATCTTGCCAATTGGCCGAGTACAAAATCATGAACCGGATACCTTTTCTATGAGGGAAAGGAATCTGAGACTCAGAAATTTCACTCATCTTTCCACCATAAGGAGTAAATGCTACTGTAGGAAGCTTTTCTTGAAGTTGAAATGGAAGAGGTGGGATGCTCTGCTCATACCAGAAGAAGTTGTCAGGATCAACTTTGGCCTTCACAAATGCCAATCTATGGAAGTTATTCTTGAAGCACTTGAGACCCCGGGAAGTACCTGCTTCTGTGAAGCTTGTGTTAGTCCTCTTGTTTATGCCCAAATCAAGATCCCTGTAATTGACACATGTTTCCCTTGGATGCTTGGAAACATAAGGTTGCATGTGCTTGGAAACATAAGGTTGCATGTACTTGTAAACCTTCCTAGTCCAATCTACATGCTTTGCAACATTTTCCTTTGCATCTTGCCAATTGGCCGAGTACAAAATCATGAACCGGATACCTTTTTTACGAGGGAAAGGAATCTGAGACTCAGAAATTTCACTCATCTTTCCACCATAAGGAGTAAATGCTACTGTAGGAAGCTTTTCTTGAAGTATAACATCCCATAACCCTTCAAGTGCAGTTTCAGGTAAGGGTTCTTTATTTATTCTTGACCAGAAGATGAAGGGCTTAAAGAAGCATACCACTGGTTGGCGTGATAGAATATTTTGTTCTGGAGAGAAGTTGATTCTTCAAGATCTTTAGAGGTAATTGGAGTTTGTTAGCTCTTTACCCTGTGTGCGTTTTCTATGAAGCAGATTTTGATGATTCAAGTGTTTCCTGCAGTTTGAGAAGATGTTGTTCAGATAATTTTCTTGAATCACGTTTCTAATTGAGGGTGCTAATTTGATAGAATTCCTGATATTGGCAGGCCATGCTCATCCTCATGAGTATTATTTCCAGCTTCATCTTTCAAGGGATTTTCAACATGTTTTTAATTTTGTTAGCCGGCACTGTTGACTATTTTTAAAGAAGGATATCATATTCCCTTGAAAGCCCCCCTGCTTTTGTGACATATGTTCTGTTCTCGATTGCTTTCTTTTGGTTTTATGGCTTTATTGCTTTATCCCAACAGGCCCTCATTGAAATTTTATCATTGCTTTTTATAGGCTTCATGTTGCTTATCAAAAAAAAAAAAAAAACATTGAACTATAAGAGGAATTCAATTATGCAATGCGAGCAATGTCATCCTTGTATTGGATTAATATTATTTTTTGTAATAAAAAAAGAGCATTTGATTATAAAAAAAAAAGAGTATTTTTTTTCTAAGATATTATAGAGAGCAATCCAATTCTTTGTGCAATCGGTATCACAATTCTTAATTTTCAATAATGTTGTTTTGGCTCAAATAAATTTCTTCTTTGAAGTTACTTTCTCGTATGGTATTTGGGTAAACTCAAAACTAAAAAATCATGAGGTTTCTGACTTCTTAATTTTGTTCATCAAGAGGTTTATTGGATTTGAGTTTACACGTTAATGATTGTAACATTTTTCGGTTACATAATAAAAAGAAATAATCTACAATGAATTTGTCAATTGAAGCAAGCTATTACATACATACATAACCATTAGAGTACACGTTCTTGCATGTCGTTTACTTTTTTCCATTAAAGTACACATGCGTGTCGTTTACCTTTTTCCTTATAATTTTTTTTTTTAAATCAGTAAATTAATTAAAAAAAGAGGCCATCCAGGTAGTGGCCGAAAAAATACAAAGTGTTATAATGCGTCACTCACCGATCTGCCACTGGCATAACTTCACCAACTATCAAATTTAGCATTCATAATAATTGTAAATGAAAGCAAAATTCAAATTCATGGAGGCAGGAGGTTTTTGACACCAAAATTGAGGAGAAATGGACACAAAACAGTCTGAAAAAAGAGGTTCAGTATTCTATCAAGAACTCTTCCATTCACATCATATTTGCATCAAGAATATGTTCAGAAGCTAGGCTATATTTTCTCAACATGGTACCGAACCCACCTCCACACAAATGCCCACCAACACCAACTGCAGCACAAATTCCTGCCGGAAGTCCATGCACACACTGTCGCCCCAGCACCAACCCCAGCACTGTTAGCTTGCAAGGCGTTCGTGCCTTGTATATTGGTTTAACTTATTGAAGAAACGCCTACAAAATCATATGTTTTGACACTCCAATGCCAGAATATATAAAATAAAGCTCGAAGTTTGACAATAATTGGCAGCTGGTAGCTTATTGTAGACAATAATTTGACAATATAAAGATCAAATATAAAACTAATCATATTTATTCTTATCTGGACATATTAGTATGAAGTCCAACAAGATTTTCAATGCCATTTAACATCCCCTATCGATTTCAGTTTAGTCAACTACTTTACCAAATGGATTAGAAAGAAGGGATAACAAGCAAGATTATTTTTGAAATGAACAATAAAATATGAAATTGGGCAACAAGGCAGGGATTTCTTTCTGTCAAATTGCCAAGTAACTTCAAAACATTGGTTCAATCAGAATACAACATGGAAATTGAACATGCGAGTAAAAAAAATATGCTTAATATCTCTCCAACTCTTCATCTCATGTGAAATGGAAGAGGTGGGATGCTCTGCTCTTGCCAGAAGAAGTTGTCAGGATCAGCTTTGGCCTTCACAAATGCCAATCTGTGGAAGTTATTCTTGAAGTACTTAAGACCCCAGGAAGTACCTGCTTCTGTAAAGCTTGTGTTAGTCCTCTTGTTTATGCCCAAATCAAGATCCCTATAATTGATATATGCTTCCCTTGGATGCTTGGAAACATAAGGTTGCATGTACTTGTAAACCTTCCTAGTCCAATCTACATGCTTTGCAACATTTTCCTTTGCATCTTGCCAATTGGCCGAGTACAAAATCATGAACCGGATACCTTTTCTATGAGGGAAAGGAATCTGAGACTCAGAAATTTCACTCATCTTTCCACCATAAGGAGTAAATGCTACTGTAGGAAGCTCTTCTTCCATTATAATATCCCATAACCCTTCAAGTGCAGTTTCAGGTAAGGGTTCTTTGGCGTAGTCCGACTTGGCTTTGAAGAATAGCTTGACTATATTCCTCCGTTGAAGTAAAACTTCAGGAGGAGTATTATTTGGGAAGAAAGCAAGGTACACGGTAGAATTGATCCAGTCTGTTTCAATACAATCCTGTCGGGGCAAACCTAATTCAGGGAAGCTGTGGTGCATTATCTGAAGAAGTCTGGTGGCATCACCAAGAAACAAGGCATTGTAAGTGGTAGCAATAGTTCTTTTAGCTTGGGAGGTGACGTTAGCTGTCTGAATGAGTACTCTGATGAAAAGATCCCCGTCTAGTTTATCAGCAATTTCTTGCCATCTATAAAGGATCTTAGTTGCCCCTTGTTCTAAAGTCTTGGTAACTGTAAATACTGTCACCGTTGATGGTACAGAAACCAATTTTAACTTCCAGGCGGTGACGATTCCGAAGCTCCCCCCTGCACCTCCTCTGATGGCCCAAAAAAGATCTTCGCCCATGGATTTTCTGTCAAGAAGTCTTCCATGAACATCAATTATATGTGCATCAACGACATTATCTGCTCCAAGGCCATATTTTCGCAGCATGGCACCATATGCACCTCCTGAAATGTGCCCCCCCATACCTAAACTTGAGCAAGTACCAGCTGGGAAGCCATGAGTTTTGCTTTTCTCAGAAATTCTGTAGTAAAGTTCACCATTCGTGGCACCCACCTAAACCCACGCACTGTTATCTTCAATATCAACGCTAATGGATCGGAACTTCGCAAGGTCGACAACTATGTAAGGTCTCGCAATATCAGATACATAAGAGAGTCCCTCATAGTCATGGCCTCCACTACGGACTCTAAGGTGAATCTCAAGCTTCTTTGAGCAAATAACCGCAGCTTGGATGTGAGATTCTTTCAAAGGAGTGAAGATTAACTCAGGTTTCGGTACTGAAGGCAGCGTAAACCTGAGGTTTTGAGCAGTAGAGAGTAAAATACTAGTGAATGATGAGTTGTTTGGAGCATACAAGACAGTGGAGAAAGGAAAGGATGATTCAGAATTTCTTGAGAGACATTTTAGAAACCTATCCTGAAGATGAAGTGAAACTACAAATGGAGTTAGGAGGAGGATCAGGAGCATCGAAAGAATGGAAGATCTTGAAGACACCATTTTCCTGATTTTCTAGCTGTTTCAAGATTGTTGCTCACAAAGTTTTCTTATAGTGGTGCTGTGAAATTTGAGCCGGAAGTTGAGTTATCTTGTCCTAGATGATTTTGTCCATTCAGAACTTGACTTTTGGATTATGAATCTGAATGATCAATATTTTCAGCAATCTCAAATTTTTTCAACCAGGCGTATTTAACCACTATCAAATTTTTGTAATTTACCTACAGAAAATTCTCTACTGTTAACATTCATAAGATTCATACCAACAACATTTGACTTTTGAAATAAGAAACTTCTGCATGATTGAAATGGTCAACATCTGATGTTTATATTGAAGAGAAAACAAAATTTTCTAATTGTAGATGCAGCAGAACATATCTTTATTGAATTTTAATATGTTTATTTATATAATAAAAAAACAGAATTTCAAGATATTCTCCAAGCATATATGATTTTCTGTTATATAGAATAAAAGATAGCCATTAGAATTAGAATAGCAACAATAAATAAACTCTGATAGTGTAAACAAACTCAGATTTTGTTAAGATTTTATTTTGTTTCTAGAGTTATTCTTGGTCAACAATTTCCCTTCTTGACTTTGAAGCTGTAAATTCTCAAATTTTGTCTCAAATACTCAAACTAGAGTTTGAGAAGTGCTTTTGTTAACATGTTTATATGTTGTTCTAATAATAATGTTCTTATGATGTCTCAAATAATGGTTCAAACTGAATTTTATCAGATTATATACTTGACAAACTTGCAAAATTTGAGATAACATGTTTCAATAATAATGTTATTATGATATGGTTTTAGGCAATTTTTTGATTTTATTGCTTTGACAATGTGTATGCACCTTTAACCTCTGTCACATATTGAACTGTAAGAGGAATTCATTACAGTTCAATTATGCGATGCTAGCAGTATCATCCTCATTTTATATTGAATTAATATTATTTTTTATAATAAAAAAGAGAATTTAATTATAAAAGAAAGAGTATTTTTTTCTAAGATATTATTGAGAGCGAATCCAATTCTTTGTGCAATAGGTATCACAATTGTTAATTTTCAATAATGTTATTCTGGCTTAAATCGTGAGGTTTCTGACTTCTTAATTTTGTTTGTCAAGAGGTTTATTGGATTTGAGTATACACAATGATTGTAACTTTTTTGCATTACATAATAAGATCAAAATAATCTAGAATGAATTTGTCAATCGAAGCAAGCTATTACATACTTACATAACCATCAGAGTACACATACTTGCGTGTCGTGTACTTTTTTCCTTTTAATTTTTTAATTTTTTTAAATCACTAAATTAATTAAAAAAAGAGGCCATCAAGGTAGCAGCCAAAAAAATACAAGGTGTTATAATGCGTCACTCATCCGTCTGCCATTGGCATAACTTCACCAACTCTCAAATATTGCATTCATAATAATTGTAAATGACAGCAAAATTCAAATTTATGGAGGCAGGGGGTTTTTGACGCCAAAATTGAGGAGAAATGGACAAAAAACAGTAGTCTAAAAAAAAGAGGTTCAGTTTTCTATCAAGAACTCTTCCATTCACAGCAAATTTGTGAGCATCAGGAATATGGTCAGAAGCTAGGCCATATTTTCTCAACATGGTACCGAACCCGCCTCCACACAAATGCCCACCAACACCAACTGCAGGACAAATTCCTGCTGGAAATCCAAGCACAAACTGTCGCCACTATATATATTTGCGCGCCCGCGCTGTAAACCATGCATTGATTTAAGATTCGAAGGAATGGAAGAAGTTGAGCGCACTATTTTGCTTGATTTTCTTGCTTTGGCTTGTTCAGAATTGAAGTTTCAGATGGTTTGCTTATATAAGAATTGTGAATAGTTGACCCCGAGGTTGAGCTAACTAATCCTGACATTATCTTAGCATTTATTATTACTCTGCATTTTCTTTTTTTATCTGATTTGTTCAATGAGACATTGACTTATGACATTACTGATATAATATAATTATATGAATGGTTAAAAATCTAAGGAATTTCATATTTTTCTAATCACACATTTAATGCATTAAATGTTTAATTATCTCATTGTTTTAACAAAATATATTTAACAGGAAAGTGAGTCGGTGTGACGGGTTGCATATTTTACTAACAGTTCTTTTTTTTTTTTTGGTAATAATATTCATACTATAAGCATTATGTAACATAGAAAAGTTCAACATCACTAAAATCATATCGAGTAAGTACTTTCTTGCAACATCTTAATGCAGCATCAAAAACTTTTATTTAACATAATCTAGAAAGATAAACTATTGAAAGAAATTGAGGTCAGAAACTAGACACTACTGTGATCCTCCAAGGAACCTTTCTCTGTCCTTGACCAATGTCTCTTCAATTTCTTTTCCTCATATGATGAGGAAGAGTTGGGATGCTCTGTTCATGCCTGAAGAAGTTGTCAGGATCAACTTTGGTCTTCACCCGTACCAGTCTGTAGAAGTTATCCTTGAAGTACTTAGTGCCCCAACCACTTACTCCTGGAAAGCTTGTGTTAGTCTCCTTGTTCATTCCCAAATCAAGGTCCCGGTAATTGACATATGCTTGTCTTGGAAACATGGAAGCACAAGGTTTCATGTACCTGTAAACCATCCTAGTCCAATCGGTATGTTTTCTAACATTTTCTTTCGCATCTCGCCAATTGGCCAAGTACTGGATCATGAACAAGGTACCTTTTCTATGAGGGAAAGGAGTCTGAGATTCGGAAATTTTGCCCATGTTTCTACCATAAGGGGTAAGAACTATAGCTGGTTTGTCTTCTTCTAACATTATTTCCCATAAACCTTTGAGAGCAGTTTCAGGTATAGGTTGTCTAACAAAGTCTGACTTGGCTTTGAAGTAGTGCTTCAATATATTTCTTCTTTGAAGTAGAACTTCAGGAGATATCTTGATGGTGTAGCCACCAAGATATACAGTAGAATTGATCCAGCTTGTTTCGATACACTCCTGTCTTGTCAAACCCAGTTCAGGAAAGCTTTCTCGCATTACTTGGAGAAGTCTGTTGGCATCACCAAGAAACAAGGCATCATAGGAAGTCGTTATAGTCCTTCCACCTTTGTTACTGACATTAACTGTCTGTATATTGACCCTGACAAAGAGATCCTCGTCAAGTTTATCAGCAACCTGTTGCCATCTAAATAAGATCTTAGTAGCACCTTGCTCTAAGGACTTGGTAACTGTAAACATGGTCACAGTTGATGGTACAGGGACCAATTTTATCTTCCAAGCAGTAATTATTCCGAAGCTGCCTCCTCCTCCTCCTCTGATTGCCTAATAAAGATTTTCTCCCATAGTTTTTCGATTAAGAACTCTTCCATGAATGTCATGTTTAATAATATTTATTTAATTTTATTTATTAAGGGTAGAATAGTATTTTAAGTTTAACCTATATATACTTTATATATATTTAGGTTAAGGCTAAGCACTCATAATTAACAGATTATTCAGAATTATAGCCTTCCTTTTATGTTTGATCTTAATTATTTTAATTTGGTATCAGAGTTGATTTTATGAAACGAAGCTTAATCACGAACTCAACTTCGATGATCCAACTCGCTGATTTTTTAGAGTGAGATTTTGTCTTTCGTTTCTGCAATTTTTTTTTGGTATTTCATCAATTTCTACAATTATTTTAGTATTTCATCTTCCCTTCAGCTTCTGCAATTTAGTATTTGTGTTCAGTTTCTGCAAATTTATTTTGTGTTTTAGAGTAATTGTATAGTTTTGAGAAGATATTTATTTAATTTCTGAATTTCTATTCAATTTCTACAATTTCGTATTTGACTTTCTGCTACTTTTGCATTCTAGTTTTCTATGATTGTTGATTATAGCTATTGAAAGAGATGATTCACTTCAGTCTGTGAGTGTGAGGTTTGATGGGAAGAACTATTTATATTAGAGCTATGTAATTTTCTTGAGGATTGAGGGTAAGAAGATATGGAGATATGTCAGTGGAATTTATGTGGTACCTAAGAATATTGAAGAAGGAGATACTGCTTCGATAGATGCATGGGAAGCATACAATGCAAAAATAATTACTTGGATTAACAATTATGTTGAGCATTCTATAGATACACAGTTGGCGAAGTATGTGAAGTATGAGACAACAAAGGAGGTTTGTGATCATCTGTAATGGTTATTCACACAATCAAATTTTGCAAAACAGTATCAGTTAGAGAATGACATACGAGCTTTTCACTAGAAGAATATGAGTATTCCCATGAATGTCATGTTTAATAATATTTATGTAATCTTATTTATTGAGGGTAAAATAATATTTTAAGTTTAACCTATATATACTTTATATATATTTAGGTTAAGGCTAAGCACTCATAATTAACAGATTATTCAGAATTATAGCCTTCCTCTTATGTTTGATCTTAATTATTTTAATTTGGTATCAGAGTTGATTTTATGAAACGAAACTTAATCACGAACTCAACTTTGATGATCCAACTCGTTGATTTTTTAGAGTGAGATTTTGTCTTCCGTTTTTGCAATTTTTTTTGGTATTTCATCAATTTCTACAATTATTTTAGTATTTCATCTTCCCTTCAGCTTCTGCAATTTAGTATTTGTGTTCAGTTTCTACAAATTTATTTTATGTTTTAGAGTAATTGTATAGTTTTGAGAAGATATTTATTTAGTTTCTGAATTTCTATTCAGTTTCTACAATTTCGTATTTGACTTTCTGCTGCTTTTGCATTCTAGTTTTCTATGATTGTTGATTATAGCTATTGAAAGAGATGATTCGCTTCAGTATGTGAGTGTGAGGTTTGATGGGAAGAACTATTTATATTAGAGCTATGTAATGAGAAATTTTCTTGAGGGTAAGAAGATATGGAGATATGTCAGTGGAATTTATGTGGTACCTAAAAATATTGAAGGAGATACTGCTTCGATAGATGCATAGGAAACAAACAATGCAAAAATCATTACTTGGATTAACAATTATGTTGAGCATTCTATAGATACACAGTTGGCGAAGTATGTGAAGTATGAGACAACAAAGGAGGTTTGGGATCATCTGTAACGGTTATTCACACAATCAAATTTTGCAAAACAGTATCAGTTAGAGAATGACATTCGAGCTTTTCACTAGAAGAATATGAGTATTCAAGAGTTCTATTCTACAATGACAGATCTTTGGGATCAATTGGCTCTTACAGAATCAACAGAATTAAAAGCATGTGGTGTTTATATTGAACATAGAAAGCAGCAATGATTAGTAAAGTTTTTAACAACATTTCGTAGTGATTTCAAAGGACTTAGAGGTTCAATTCTGCATCGTTCTCCACTACCTTCTGTTGACTCTGTTGTTAGTGAGTTATTGGTTGAAGAAATACGTCTTCAGTCTTATTCTGAAAAGAGAGTTCTTTCTGCTTCAAATCCTTTTGTATTAGCAGTACCTTCCAAGCCATTCTATAATCATCAGAACAAGCCTTACACAAAGGTTAGCTTTGATGAGTGCAGTTTCTGTAAGTAGAAAGGTTATTAGAAAGCTTAGTGTCCTAAGTTGAGACAACAGAATCAAGCTTGGAAGTCTGACAGTCAGTCACAATCTAATGCTCATAGACTATCTTAGGGTTATAAACCACCACACCATATTCTTGTTTCGTTCTTCATCCTCATGTAAAACACAGTAAGTTATCTTCTCGATTTGTTATTTGTGTTTTTTTTTGGGTTATGGTGAAGGTAAAAAGGAGTATCGTTGTTTTGATCCAATAACTCAGAAACTTTATGTGTCTCATCATGTTGTCTCCTTGAGCATATACCTTTCTTTTCTATTCCATCCACTGCTCATAGCCTAACTAAATCTGATCTTATTTATATAGATCCTTTCAATGTCCCCTTTGTCCTCCATTCCTGTTATAACTACTGATGCCATTCATCTCTGCAGGTACTGATACTTTACTCTCTGATACACTTAAAGCTCTATTTTCATCTACAGCCCCTCAAGCTTTATCTGAGATTATATATTCGCCTCCACGTCAGTTCATCCACATTTGTAAGTCCACAAAACTACCAGATTTTGCTTATTCTTGTTATTCTTCATCATTTACTTCTTTTTTAGCTTTTATTCATTGTCTCTTTGAGCCCTAGTTCTTTTTGTTATGTACAAGATTTGTAGTCTTAGAAGCTGATTGGGACAAGCTGCTATGGATGAGGAACTTTCTACTTTGCATCAGACAGATACTTGGGATCTAATTCCTCTACCTTCTAGTAAGAGTGTTGTTGGTTGTCGTTGGGTGTCTTCTCATTTGAGATTTTTAGCATCCACACCAGCTTTAAAAAATTTGCAAACTTGTAATATTTCTAATTGTAATGGATGTAAATTGAATATAGCATGGACTATGAGGAGACATTTGCTTCGGTTGCAAAAATGACTATTATTCATACTTTTATTCCCGTAACTTTGATTTGTCAATGACATATTTTTCAGCTTAATGTTAAAAATGCCTTCTTGAATGGAGATCTTCAAGAAGAAGTTTACATGACTCCCCCTCCTGGTATTTCACATGACTCTGTATATGTTTGTAAGCTTAAAAAAGCATTATATGGTCTCAAACAAGCACCCCGTGCTTGGTTTGAGAAATTCTCTATTGTGATCTTATCTCCTGGCTTTGTTTCTAGTAGTCATGATTCTGCTCTTTTTATTAAGTGCAGTAATGCAAATCGCATCATTCTGTCTTTATAGATTGATGATATGATTATTACTAGTGATGATATTGATGGTATTTCAGTTTTGAAGACAGAGTTGGCTAGACAATTTGAAATGAAGGATTTGAGTTATCTTCGATATTTTTTGAGTATTGAGGTAGCATACTTACCTAGAGGTTACCTTTTTTCTTAGTCGAAATATGTTGCAGATATTCATGAGTGGGCTAAACTTACTGATAACAAGACTGTAGATACTTCTATTGAGGTTAACGCAAAGTATTCTTCTTCTTATGGTTTGCTTTTGATAGATCCTACTTTATACCTCACTATTATTGGAAGTTTGGTATATCTCACAATTACTTGTCCAGATATTGCATATGTTGTTCATGTTGTTAGTCAATTTGTTGCTTCTCCTACTACTGTTCACTAGGCAGCTGTTCTTTTACTTTCATCCACCTCTTCCTTGGAGTTACGTGCATACTCTGATGCTGATCATGGTAGTGATACCACAGATCACAAATCTGTTACTGGGTTTTGTATCTTTTTAGGTGATTCTTTTATTTCTTGGAAGAGCAAGAAATAATCTATTGTTTCTCAATCATCCACAATCTATTGTTTCTCAATTATCCACCGAAGCAGAATATCATACAATGACATCTACTACCAAAGAGATTGTTTGGTTACCTTGGTTACTTACTGATATGAGAGTTTCCTTTTCTCATCCTACTCCTATATATTGTGACAACCAAAGTTCTATTCAGAATACTCACAACTCGATTTTTCATGAGCGAACTAAGCATATTAAGATTGATTGTCATCTTACTCGTCACCATCTCAAACATGACACCATTGCTTTGCCTTTTATTCCTTTTTCCTTGTAAATTGCAGATTTCTTTACCAAGACGCATTCCACCTCTCGTTTTTATTTTCTGGTTGGTAAACTCTTGATACTTATAGCTGCTGCATCGTGAGTTTAAGGAAAGATATTAAAAAATATTTATGTAATTTTATTTATTAAGGGTAGAATAATATTTTTAGTTTAATCTATATATACTTTATATGTATTTAGCTTAATGCTAAATATTCATAATTAACAATTTATATGTATTTAGCTTAATGCTAAATACTCATAATTAACAAATTATTTAAAATTATAGCTTCCCTTTTGTGTTGATTTTAATTATTTTAGCAGGTCAATTATACACGCATCAATGACATTGTCTGCACCAAGCCCATATTTTCTCATCAAGGAGCCATGTGCACCTCCAGTAATGTGCCCACCAATACCTAAACTTGTGAAAGTACCAGCCGGGGAGCCATGAGTTGTTCTTTGCTCAGCAATTCTGTATTAGAGTTCACCATTTGTGGCACCTGCATGAACCCATGTGAAGCTAACCACCTTAGTCAAAAATGGTGGGAGAAGGTGTAGTCATCCTTTTACACCTTAGTCAAAAATGGTGGGAGAAGGTGTAG